CTCTAGCCTGTACCCCAGTTCTGTATGCCTAAATAAATAAATCTTTAAAAAAAAAATTATATCAATGAATACAATGTTCCACCATCAGTGACTATTAAAAAATATTAAAGACAGAAAACACCAGTTTGGACAAGGATATTGAAAAGCTGGAACCCTTGTATATACATGGCTACTGGAAATGTAAAAAGATGCTGTCATATGGAAAAGAATATTACAGCCATGGAAAAGAATATTACAGCCCTACAGGGGGAAAAAAGTCAAAACTAGAATTACCAGCTGATTTACCAATTCTGCTGTGAGTATATACTCAAAAGAAATTATTTCAAAGAGATATTTATATCCACGTTGCTAGCAGCATTATTCACAATAGCCAAAAAATAGAAGCAACCCAAGTTTCCATCAACAGATGAATGGATAAGCACGTGGAATATTATTCAGTCTTTAGAAGGCATGAAGTCTGACACATTCTACAATGTGAATGAATCTTGAAGACATTAAGTAATAAGCCAATTACAAAAGATACTCCATGGTTCATACTTATAGGAGTTACCTAGAACAGTCGGATTTAAGTGACCAGGTTGAATAGTGGTTACCAGGGACTGAGGATAGGTAGGAATAGGGAATTTGTTATTTAATGGATATAGTTTTGTTTGGGAAGATCAAAGTTCTGAGAAGGGGTGGTGGCAGTTGCATAGTCATGTGAATGTGCACAGTCTTTCAAAAAAAACCAGTATGTAGACACAAACTAGTCATGTTCACATATACATTATCTCAAACTCTGGAAGTTCCTGAATGGGGTGGGGGTGGGGGGAGGGGAGAGATAAAACAAAGAGTAAGCCAGTAAGTAGTTGTTCATATTTGACACCTTGAATTATCTTCCAAAATCCACCAATTCCTTTGCCATTCTCTAGGAAACAAGGCAGAAGCTAAATACCCATTTCTCCATTTCCCTTTTTTATGATGAGCATGAACTATTTTTCTTGAAAATCGCTGATTATTCACAACTCCATCATTCACAGACCCCCAAAAACTGGAATAAGCAAATGTTCTTCAAAGAGTCAATAATCTGTTTTTCACTTACAGGAATATAAAGAAACCAAATGAGGGGTCAGGAAAAAAAAAAAGACAAAACTAGCAAGCAAACTATTACATAAATCAAGAGACATAAGGAGGAAACAGGAGGAAGAGTGCTAAGAGCAGGCAAAGGAAGAGTAGAAGACACTATGGTGACAGTTCACAGGTGACTTGATGGTGGGAATTTTATGGGGACTACACCTGCAAAAAGAAATCAAACACTGTTCAAAAGTGAACAATATAAAAAAATAAATCAATATAAACATACAAAATAAAGTGAATAATCTGTACTACAATCTTATAATTGAATACTGCTCAGCAATAAAAGGAATCAATTATTGAAGTACACAATGTGGATGACTCATTAAAATATAATTTTTTTAAAGATTTATTTATTTACGGAATGGGGTACAGGCCAGAGGTACAGCGGCAGGGAAAGGATTCACCAGAGACAGAATGGGGAGCAGAACAGGCAGAATGACAAAGTACACTGATGAGGGGTGCAGTGGGCGGGCCAGGAGAGGTTGCCACGGCATGTGGATGAGCTCCCTTGCCGGAGATCAGTTTCGTGCCAAAGAGGCTGCCACTAACTTCACAGTGCTGCATTTTAAGCCATTGTGCCACCAGTAAAGGCCCTAAAATATTATTCCAAGGGAAAGAAGCCAGGATCAAAAGGCAGCACACACAATGATTCCATTTTTATGGTATTCTAGAAAAGACAAAACTATAGGAACAAAAATTAGATTGGTGGGATGCCAAAAACTGGTGGATAACAAAGAGAAAGGAGAGTCCCCCAAATGACAGTGAAGAAAAATCATCATGACAGCTGTGCAGAAGGGCCTACAGAGCAAACAAATCGAGTCAGAGCAAAACAAGGTTTGTCAAAGAACTATTTCCAAGAAAATGCTTCTGACCACCATATGGGGTTAATTTGTACATATAAAATAAGCATAAAGACATATCATTGGGTGTGTGTATGCAGACATCTTAACAACTGTGAAAATGACAATTATTAAGTCTCCTCTCTCCCGGCCACTAATAGACAATGGCTCTACTATAATTTACATGCCTGTAATAACAGTGAACCATGACCTAACCAAAAATTACTATACAATAATGGAGGATAAAAGGAGGAAATATAAACTGAAGGGTGAAGGGGTAGTGCAAAAATAGCAAAAGACTCACCTAAGAGTAAAAAATAATGCCTTTTGAGAATGAGATTTAGAAATACATCAGAACAGGGTAGAGAATTACTGTGGATTTATGTTAATTTACTACATACTGAGCACTAATCTAAATGTTTTCTATACATTACTACTCCCTATAATCCGTGATAACTCTCTACAAAATGTGGTATAATCCCCATTTTAAGATTCAGAAATAACCTTTAACTTAGAAAAGGTTCTACACAGAACAGTAGTGTGTAATACAGTCTTGACTATGTGCTAGGACCCTCCCTGGAGATGCAACAAGTTCAAATGCAGCACTAAGAAGCTAAACTAGTTAAACTATTGCAGCCACTGCAGCACCAAGTTCAATCACTGGTGGATCCCTGGCCATGGAGTTGAACCACATGGTTCAGTAGCACTCTCCTCTCTCACCTGCTGCTCCCCTCAGCAGTATGGTTCAGTACACCTGCCTGTTCTGCTCCCCACTGTGTCTCTGGTGAATCCTTTCAACCCCCACGCCTCTTGCCTTTACCCCAATTCTGTATGCATATTTTTAATAAAATAACAAAGGAACATAACTTAATATAAAGTCCATTTACAACAAACCCATAGCCAATGTCATTCTCAATGGGAGAATGAAAGCCTTTCCCTGACAGTCAGGAATAAGACAAGGATGTCCTCATCATTGCTTTTCAATGATACTGAAAGTCCTAGCCAGAGCAATAAGGTAAGAAAAAGGACTCCAAATAGGGAAAAAAGTAAAACAATCTCTATTTGCAGATGACATGATCATATAGACAGAGAACCCTAAAAACTCCCAGAAAATGTTATCAAAATAATCATCCAGTTTCACAAAGTAGCAGGATACAAAATCAACACACAAAAATCAGTAGCCTTACTATATACAATCTGAAGAAGAAATAAAGAAAACCACCCCTTTTATAATTAAAACAAAAAAGATCAAATATTTTAAATACTTGGGAATAAACCTAACAAAATAGGAGAAGGTGGCTCTCCCTGGTGGTACAGCGGGTTAAAGCACAGCACTAAGAAGATAAAGCCACCTCAGCATGACTTCGATTCCTGCCCCAGAGGTGATCCACATGGCGCAGCAGACCTCTCGTAACCAGCCCGCTGCTCCCATCAGAGTGTACTCCCTCGATCCGCCTGTCCTGCACCCCACTCTGTCTTTGGTCAATCTTCTCCCTGCCCCTGCATCTCTGGCCTTTACCCCAGTTCTGTATGCATAAATAAATAAAACTTTTTAAAAAAAAATAGGTGATGGGCAACGGGGGG